GCCAGCTGGGGAATTCTGGGAGTTGAAGTCCACACATCTTAAGGTGGCCAAGGTTGAGAAACACTGCTGTACACAGATGCCAGATCAGGTTTTCCCAATTCAGTGCTCTTGAAATGTTGGATCCCAGTGCCCATAATGGCTAAGGATTAGGGGAGATGAGGTCCCAAATAATTAAAGGGCACCAATTTGAGAAAAGCTCGTCTTGGCAGTATAAGCAAGTTATGCAAATGAGACACAAAGGAAAATGTTAAGGGGTTCCATAGAAGAATTCTAGCACCCCATTTGGCTCGGGTTAGATAACAGCAACGGACTGAACAGAGCGATGCTTACCGAGATCCAAAACCTGCACGCAGTCCCTGTTGCCGGTTTCAGTGGCCCCTCCATACACCCAGAGGGTGTTGGGCTGGCTTGTGGGAACAAAGGCAGCGTGTTCGTACCGTGGCAACAGACCTACCCAGCCAGGCGCCGTCCAGCAATTTGCATCTAGGGTGCAAGGGAAGATATCAATGCCTAAATATGTTTAAGGTTTCCTCCTGGGAACCAAATCTCTAATGCTTGAGAAATCAGAAGGTTCAGAAGCCACACCACCTCTTACTTTACACAGCTCGATCTACGCTCTGTGTATTTACTGGCTTAATTTGGGTGGCCATCTTAAAGCAGACTTGCTTGGTAAAACAGAACGATTGCAGTGATGAAGCAGATTACATTCTTCTGATCGGGTGCTTTCCAGATACCGTAAAGGAGCAACTGCAGATTTCCTTGGGAATTCCGGGCTCTGAAGTCCCAAGAGTTCGGCAGGCGCAGCGCTGAGCAAAGAGCATCCTGCCCCCTGCTAGAAATCTCCCTGACAAACTCTTTGGGTGACTATGATCTGCATGCCTTTGCATCCATCAGGACTAGAAACACGGCCTTTTTAAATACATATATACATATAAATACAGTATGGACTCTGAGTCCCCCAGGAAATTCAGTTCGGCAATATTCATTTCCCACGCTTTCTCCCTCCCAGCCCTTACCAAGATCAATAAAATAGGAGTCAGCAAAACTTCCGCTCGGGTTTGCTCCTGCGATGATAACCACCTTCCCATTTCTGCTGCCCGGCTCCAAAGGAGGCAGATATAAAGAGTTTTGGCCCACACGAGCACAGGGGCTCTTCCCACATAAGGCAAGGGAGTACCTGGGAGGCAGAGAGAGAAAGAGAAGCAGTGGAAAAACTCATCCAGGTGGCTTTTCCATGCAGAGCAAACACCAGCCCCATTAAGTGGCACGGTGGTGCATGTTTCCAGGAGGAAGCCTCCCCCCCCTCAACACAGTGGGATTGATTTTTAGGAATTCTGCAGAACCCAGAAGGAGGACCCTGGGATTTTGCATGCAGAAATCCTGATTCAACCCCCAGCATCTTCAAGCCTCAAGGACCAGTCAACGCCGGTAACCTTGAGACAGGCTTGAATACATATAATTTATACATACTATAACCCTATGTGCAAATCAGCAAACATGTCTTTTGCCCAGCCGCCCAGTTTATAACCTACGAATATCAAGAGGGTCATCAAGGGCAAGAGTTGAGAATCTACGCAGCTCAGGGTTGAACTGCTGGGCTCTTAGCGTTCCCAAGCGTGGGGGTTTTCCTGCTGGTGTTTCATCAGCAGGCTAGAGAACCTCATCAGTGCAGTGCCAGTTGCCATACACTAATGATTTAAAAAGGCAGGGCTGCTCCATTATTGATTATTCAGCTCTGTGCCCGCACGAAAGCCTACCAAGAAAAGGTAAGGAAACTGTCAGAACAAGATTTGCAGGGCAAAGCCCAGATCGCATTAAGGGGGTGGAAGGGGGGGGCTGGTCGCATTCTGGCCCTGAGCCAAAACATCCCCCAGGGGCGGGATACAGCAGGGAGGTCAAAAGAGGAACCGTAAGGGCCCCGCGGAGGCCAGGCCTTCGGTTAGGGAGGGGTCGCAGCCTGAAACTCAAGCAGGAAGTGGGCGCCGAGGTTAAAGGAAGGAGGTGCCCGTCTCAGGCTGATGCCTGATGGACGGAGGGGTTCTGGACACGGCGGGGCAGCCCGGCTCCGAAGGCCGCGGCGCTCGGATGCGTCCTCCTCGCAGGATCCGACCCGTTCAGAGCAGGGACTCCAACCCCATGCGCCACGCGAGAATGCGCCAGGAAGCAGCCTGAATCCTGGGCGGCAGCCTCGTGCTGGCGGCACCCAGCGAGCGGGCCGCGCCGTCCCTTTGCAAGGCTGCTTTGCCCGTTCCCTGCGCGTAAAGGGCGCGCGCACGCACCGCCCGGACTGCGGCGGGGAGAGCTCCAGCCCCCGCCGCGCCTTTGCACGGGCGCCCCCGCCTCC